TTCGAGATTAATTAAGGTTTGGTGCCCCGTTTTCCTTTGTCTGTGAGTTTTATTTCAGTGTGTTATCTCTTTGTGTAAAGTGTTGCAGAGGGCGTTGTTGCGTGTTATTTATTCTCTTGTTTTTTGTTTTGCCTAGATTTTTAAAGGGAATATCGTTGTGTTTATCTTCATTTAAAAATTAAATTTCAAATAAGTGGTTTTCATCGGGATGTTTTACGATTGTCTAAGCATATGTATTTTTATCAAAGGAAATGAATTATGCTAAAAAGGGATACCATCCGTTGTTAGATTTGCTTCATGGTTATAGTAGTAGCGGCAAGAATTATTAAGTAATAATTTACTAAAAAATATAGAAAATAAAAACAGCAAAATAATGATAATCAACTGTATTTAAAACGCTTGTGTTGCTGATGGTAATAGTTATAATAACATTACTTAGTATGATAAGAATGATGTTAATGATGACCTAAGTAATTTTAATAATGGTGGTAATGATGATACTGTTTTGATACTAATGTCGTTGTTTATAAGCAAATAACTTCGTTTATGATTTTTATAGCACTCTTGATACGTTCCCGATAATACATTCTTTTGCATAGTGCAAGTAAATTTACAGCTAAGACAAAAACAAACGTGCATAAACCCGCCAGCCTTTTCGATAGACGAGTAAATGAATTCTGAACACTGGTATCAACATCAAAAGTTATCATCCAAATAATTATTACATTCTCATGTAATCCCTAGGATAATGCTGCGTACCCTATGACCCCTAGATGTAAAGAATACCACAGTTATGACTAATGCCCGACGTTCAAAGATCAAACAAGCAGTGCCCAATTCCATGCCTGTAGCTCTGGCAGTGAGCAACAGTGCGGTCAAGCTGCAAAGTCAACATCCTCGCTAAATGCAATGTGAGAGATAATTTATGTGTGTGCGTTAGTGACTGCGTGTCTCCAATCGTGGGTGTGTGAGCGTACATACATTATGTGGTATATGTATATATATTTTTTTTATAATTTTCGAAAGGCAGACGTAAGCAACTGTAATAATTCTAAGTACGATAAATGCGTCCCGGCGTGCGAATGCTGTTCCGTCAACTACTTCATAACTTTTGAGTTTCTATTTACATAATTTCCTAAGAATAGGATAGGTCTCACTTAATGAATATGCCTGTTCTTTCCAAAAGGGGTTCGTTTTTAAAAGTTTCTCCTAAGGATCACGGACGGATATTCCTAGTGTTCATTGCGCTATGGGTATCAGGCATTATCCTTAAAGTTTCTGCTGTCGGGTGCCAACACCCTATTCTTTCTGTTAAAATAGTAATTATATGGTACTGTAGTGAGAAGAATACAACGTAGAATGATCATTTATAGATACTTCAGCAACTTCATGTGAAAAAAATTGTTTTCACATTGTTTTACAGTTATTAATGGCGGCAGATGATCACAAATCCGATGTTATTTATTCATATATATATATATATATATATATATATATATATATATATATATATATATATATATATACATACACACTTATGTATATATATGTATGTAAATACATGTATATATTTTTTTCAGTTTAATAAAGATTTATAACCTTATTGATGTCATTTAAACCAGGCTTTTTGTTATGTCTATAAATGTAGAAACATTCTTCATGGAATGTCAACAACAAATTCAATATCGAGAGTTCATCGCGAGCAGGCAGTTTCCAACTTGAAAATCATCTGACAGTTTAATTGTAGAACTTGTTTTCTTTGTTTACAACTGTTTTTGTCGTTACCATGATACCGAACATGTGTTTGTTTGTTTTTTTAGTGGTGTATCTACAGCAGCTAGGTTATTGTAGGCAAGCGGATTTTTTTTTTCATAAGATACTTGGATTTTTCCACTTTCATTCAGTTTGCAGTCATGTTTCTTGGACGTTTAATTCTTAAATGATTCTTAGATAGCTATTATGTTACTTACGTTTACTTCGTTGAATAATCCCCTGAAGTTATATAAATAGTTATTAATGTTTAAAAGTTAAGCAATAAACACTGTTGTAAATTTATTTTTGTAAATATTAAATATACAGACGTTATATAGATTAGTAAATTCTTAAAATTACTATTTAGTTTTAAATGTAATTCAGTAATTAGCACTCGACGGAATTAGCAAGTAATATTGTGAATGTTCTATGTATAAATTGCAATTACGTTTGCCACACATGTAAACAAGTTCTAGGTATAAAGAAATAACGCATAATGCTCCCAGTAAATATATATATATATATATATATATATATATATATATATATATATATATATATATATATATATCAGGAAGACCTATATATCTGTGTTCTTATCAGATAAGTGCGAGGGTAGGAAGATCATCAAAATGAATTGTTAACTTTTGAAACGTTAAATAACAGAACAAGGTATGCGATGTACCAGGTAAATATAATGAGAGTTGGAATACATTCAAGACTGAAAATATGAGGGAAAGAAACATCGAAGAATAAGCGTTGCAGTCACTATATGGATGAATAGTTTCGCGTTAGAAGTGGTGAAAACTTCCTACACGTCGATTTTCGTTAACGTTATGTAAAAACCGTGGCTGTTACTATGCATAGAGCCCCAACGAAGCAAGACCAGTGGTAACGAAATAACGAAGCTTGTAATTCACAGAGATTGCTATAGATGCAGTGGGTGAAAACAATGTCCCTCTGTTTCAAGCTAAAGCAAAACGTATTGAGAAAGTTTACTACTGTAAGATAAGTTCAAGACTTTATAATAAACTTTATAGCTAATATATATAACTGAATTTTACAGATGGACCAGCCAACTTTTGTTGAGGGCTTCCATGACCCAGAAGCCGTCAAGAAGATGACATACCACCCCCTTGGTAACACAGGTGAGGCTCATGCGTTTTGTCCAGAATGTGTGGCTAAAACACACTAGGTAGATCATAGTGACATAAATTAGTATTTCTATCTCAATATGGGTAAAATGAGATGTGAGACAGGGAACGGAGGAATAAACGAAATTCAAAACCATATGATACGTTGAAATGTTTGTATAGAGACGCAGACATATAGAATTGAAAACCATATGATACGTTGAAATGTTTGTATAGAGACGCAGACATATAGAATTGAAAACCATATGATACGTTGAAATGTTTGTATAGAGACGCAGACATATAGAATTGAAAACCATATGATACGTTGAAATGTTTGTATAGAGACGCAGACATATAGAATTGAAAACCATATGATACGTTGAAATGTTTGTATAGAGACGCAGACATATAGAATTGAAAACCATATGATACGTTGAAATGTTTGTATAGAGACGCAGACATATAGAATTGAAAACCATATGATACGTTGAAATGTTTGTATAGAGACGCAGACATATAGAATTGAAAACCATATGATACGTTGAAATGTTTGTATAGAGACGCAGACATATAGAATTGAAAACCATATGATACGTTGAAATGTTTGTATAGAGACGCAGACATATAGAATTGAAAACCATATGATACGTTGAAATGTTTGTATAGAGACGCAGACATATAGAATTGAAAACCATATGATACGTTGAAATGTTTGTATAGAGACGCAGACATATAGAATTGAAAACCATATGATACGTTGAAATGTTTGTATAGAGACGCAGACATATAGAATTGAAAACCATATGATACGTTGAAATGTTTGTATAGAGACGCAGACATATAGAATTGAAAACCATATGATACGTTGAAATGTTTGTATAGAGACGCAGACATATAGAATTGAAAACCATATGATACGTTGAAATGTTTGTATAGAGACGCAGACATATAGAATTGAAAACCATATGATACGTTGAAATGTTTGTATAGAGACGCAGACATATAGAATTGAAAACCATATGATACGTTGAAATGTTTGTATAGAGACGCAGACATATAGAATTGAAAACCATATGATACGTTGAAATGTTTGTATAGAGACGCAGACATATAGAATTGAAAACCATATGATACGTTGAAATGTTTGTATAGAGACGCAGACATATAGAATTGAAAACCATATGATACGTTGAAATGTTTGTATAGAGACGCAGACATATAGAATTGAAAACCATATGATACGTTGAAATGTTTGTATAGAGACGCAGACATATAGAATTGAAAACCATATGATACGTTGAAATGTTTGTATAGAGACGCAGACATATAGAATTGAAAACCATATGATACGTTGAAATGTTTGTATAGAGACGCAGACATATAGAATTGAAAACCATATGATACGTTGAAATGTTTGTATAGAGACGCAGACATATAGAATTGAAAACCATATGATACGTTGAAATGTTTGTATAGAGACGCAGACATATAGAATTGAAAACCATATGATACGTTGAAATGTTTGTATAGAGACGCAGACATATAGAATTGAAAACCATATGATACGTTGAAATGTTTGTATAGAGACGCAGACATATAGAATTGAAAACCATATGATACGTTGAAATGTTTGTATAGAGACGCAGACATATAGAATTGAAAACCATATGATACGTTGAAATGTTTGTATAGAGACGCAGACATATAGAATTGAAAACCATATGATACGTTGAAATGTTTGTATAGAGACGCAGACATATAGAATTGAAAACCATATGATACGTTGAAATGTTTGTATAGAGACGCAGACATATAGAATTGAAAACCATATGATACGTTGAAATGTTTGTATAGAGACGCAGACATATAGAATTGAAAACCATATGATACGTTGAAATGTTTGTATAGAGACGCAGACATATAGAATTGAAAACCATATGATACGTTGAAATGTTTGTATAGAGACGCAGACATATAGAATTGAAAACCATATGATACGTTGAAATGTTTGTATAGAGACGCAGACATATAGAATTGAAAACCATATGATACGTTGAAATGTTTGTATAGAGACGCAGACATATAGAATTGAAAACCATATGATACGTTGAAATGTTTGTATAGAGACGCAGACATATAGAATTGAAAACCATATGATACGTTGAAATGTTTGTATAGAGACGCAGACATATAGAATTGAAAACCATATGATACGTTGAAATGTTTGTCACTGTCACCAGGCCCTGAAGGACGTGCCTCGCAGCGCCTACTACATCGGCACCAAGGTCGGCCGCTACGAACCTTGCGTGGAGCGCATGTTCGACTTCTCCGGCGATCGCGTTGCCCGCAGCGTCGACCAGAGCCTCAAGCTCCTCGGCCTCGACTATGTTGACGTCATCCAGGTCCTTGGTCGATCGAATCGTCTTTTGAAGTGAGGATAATTGATGAACAGCCAGAGGTGTTCCGTCGCTTTTGGTAATTCTCAGTGCATGATATTTACCTTTGCAGATTCATGATCTTGAGTTTGCCGAGAGTGTGGACTTGATAGTGAATGAGACCCTGCCGGCGCTGCAGAAGGTGGTGGAACAAGGCAAAGCGAGGTGAGGGAACACATGGAAAGAAGGAAAGGGGAGGTGCGGTGCGTTGGAGGGAATAGGGGGGGGGGTTAAGTTGATGCACTTGGAAAGATGAAGTCAATTAAAGGGTATGTGGAGAAGCCAACAGATGAGACGGGCTAATGACTGAACAGCGAATGAACACCTTCCCCATCTTGTAGGCACATCGGAATCACAGGCTATCCTCTGAGCCTACTGAAGGAGGTGGTGGAGAGATCCAGCGTTAAGATCGAGGTCGTGCTGTCATACGCGCGCAACACGCTCATCGATGACGTCTTGAAGGAATATATGCCCTTCTTCCAGGTATACAAATCCACTGCCACATTAAAAAAAGATCTTTAGTTCCATAATTAACAAACAGACACTCATCAAACTTTCGCCCTCAGTCCCGGAACATCGGAGTAATCAGCGCCTGCGCAGTGGGCATGGGTCTCCTGTGCGAGGGCGAGCCTCCCGAATGGCACCCCGCCCAGCAGGAGATCAAGGACGCTTCGAAACTCGCCGCCAAATTCTGCAAGGTAACTGTTACAGAAGAAGGATTATTTATTTATTATTCACTTTAGGATATGCAATCGCTTTGGGATTGCTTTGGTAGATATTCAGTTATTCGTAGTCTCACGAAACAGATATCGACGGTATATTTTCCGATGACATTTCATTCCCGACTCCTCCCCAGGACGCGGGCAGCGACTTGGCTCGTCTGGCCGTGCAGTTCTCGGCCAGCACGGAGGGCGTGGCCACACACCTCATGGGCTGCAACGACAGTCGCATCTTCAGACGTAACCTGGAGTCTATCCTCACTCCTCCTACAGCTCATGAGATCGCGCTCTCCCAACAAGTGCGAGAAAAGTAAGACAAAATCAGTGATGAATATCTAAAGCAAAATCAATACAAGGATCGTTTTTGGTCACTTTTTGAGTCGTTACTGAAATATTCATCAGTTACATTTTTATCAAAAGTATCATGTCTATTATCTGGAAGTTTTATACGGTCAGTGTTGAGCATGAGAGATATTCCTGATAACACTTGCAGAAAAGTGAATAATGTATCATCATTTCTTAGTGCCACTTGTGAAGTAAAACCAATCGTCCAATATCACCTCTGTTTATTTTATGATTCGATACGATAACATTTACTTTTGCTAGTAAAACAATGTGAATTACACATAGTATTTTAGATAAAGCGAAGGCTGATTTTATACATTAACTGCTGTCTCAAAACTAATCCTCTCGGCGGATTCCCCTCCCGATCTAATTTAATTTAATGACCCGCGATTTTGACATGGTGGACACTTCCCCTCTCGAGATTTTTCGAGGCGGGCGGTTTGCCTCCCGGGTCGGAAGTGCTTCGAAACACTCTGAAGTCGTCGACATATATACACCTTATTTTGTTATATATATATATATATATATATATATATATATTTGTATAGATATACATGTTGTGTGTGTGTGTGTGTATGTGTATTACATATGTGTGTGTATACATATATGTATGTATATATATATATATATATATATATATATATATATATATATATATATATATATATATATATATACGTATAAATACACACACACACACACACACACATATATATAGGGACGGTCATCGTGACGTCACGATCACATGTCACGTGACCTGGTGCCACTGGTGGGCAAAAGAACAACATTCGCCATTAGAATCGTATAGAAACAGGAGCGCAGTGTAGTTTTTATCGTTGTTTATTCGCCAGATTTCGAAAAGTTTGAGTTGCTTTTTTGAAATTCAGTTCGTTATTCAAGTATAATCAAAATGGTTAATAGTTGTGTCATCATTGGTTGCGTTAGTCGTCAAGAAAAAGGATCAGGTTCGAGTTTTTGTCGTTTGCCGAAAGATCCTGAACGAAGAAGGCTTTGGCTTGCAGCAATCCATAGAAAAAATTACAACCCTCCTTTGGAGAGTGATGTTAGAGTTTGTGGACTTCATTTTATTAACGGTGAGTTTATTTCTTTATT